GAGGAATAGGGGGGGGGGGGGGTTTGTTTTAAAAGGTGGTGGCCAAGTGATGAAAACCGAGGGGGGGGGGTGGAGGAAACGGGCATTTTTATTTTACTTTTTATTTTTGAGACGGCTTAACGGCTTCGCGTATGCTCATTGGGTTTGCAATTTTCCGTACGCATTGACCGTGCTACCCGGCTCTCCGGTGAGAAAAACGTCAGTTCTATCCCTGGCTTATTTAACTACAAGCGGGAAAATGTGCGCGTTGTTGCATGTCGTGGTTGGAGGACGAAGCATGAATGTGCTGACAACATGCTTCCGGAGCAAACACTGAACTAACAACCGACACATCACCCCACCACCACCACCACCACCACCACCACCCACGACGACCATCAGACCAACGCCCAGCTTGCCTGATCTCTCGCTCGTTCTCCTCCATGTTGATGGCGCCGATCATCTGCTCGGTGAACTCGGTGGTGTTCCAGGGGTTGATCAAAACAGCACCGCCGATGGACCTTCCAAAAACAAAACAAACACCAACAGGGCGGGATGGTGACTGGGCACTGGCGAGAGCAAGGGGGCATAAATAGGCACGGCGGCGGCGGACTCGTCTCTGATAGAGGTATCAACCTGACAGCCGAAACGAAACGGCAACCCCAAGTGGCAGTACTGCTGTACCGTCCGGCAGCATGGCAACGAAATCGCACATGAGACTCCTGCCGTCCTCCCTCCCCTCCTCCTCTGTCTGCCTGCCTGTCTGTCTGTCTCTCTCTTCTCTCTCAACCTTTCTCTCTCTCTCTTTCTCTCTCTCTTTCTCTGTCTGTCTGTCTGTCTGTCTCTCTCTCTCTCTCTCTCTCTCTCTATCTCTCCCTGCTAATAGCGCACGCTCTCTGTCTGCATTTATCCTTCGATCTACCTCTCTCTTCTCTCCTCCCCGTCTCACCTGGCGCAGCCGGCGAACTCGCTGAGCACGACGGTGGCGGGGAGGCGTCGGCACTCCCGGGAGACCACGTACTCGAACGGCACCACGTCCATGCCGTCGCGGATGGGGGTGATGACCAGCACGTCGGCGATGGCGTACAGCGCGCTCAGCTCCTGCAGCAGCAGCAGCAGCGGAAGCGGCAGCGGCAGCGAGCGGTTGCACACAGCGACGGCAGCAGCAGCAACAGCAACAGCAGCAGTCGCACAGTCAACACTAGCTGCCTCATCATCCACAGCAAAAAAACAGAACAACATCATCACAAAACAACGCCGACCACGCTAAACCACAACGGCGATGTAACAAAGGCAACCACTGTCCGAACGCGCGCATGCGCGCGCTTGCCTCTTCTCCTTTTTCCCCCTCTCCCTCTTACGTTGGGGTTGACGTTCAGGAAGAACTGCACCGGCCCGGCCTCGTCGATACTCCCCAGCTTGGAGTTGACCCTTGCCACGAAGCCCTGCACCTGCGCCTCCAGCACCATGCGCTCTCGGGAGTGCGGCCCCGTGAAGCAAACCTGCCGGTCGTCAGCCAAAAATAAATCCTCCCAGCTGAAATATTGTACCAATGCTTTGTGTCATATATTTTTGTCAATCCTCCCAACCACGGTTTTATAATATTTTGAATTTCGTCCACGGGCTAATAAAAACACACGAAGAGACCGTCCATTCGTCCTCCCACATACTTACATGCCACATCGTCCGATAGACTGTATAACGAATAAAGCATCATTCACGCACTCCATATCTTAGTATCACACCTCCTCCCAATTATTTCTATATTTTACTTGAAGTACCAGACGGTAACGCCAAACAACCAGTGTTGGTTGGTTCGGCGCGGCGGTCGCACCTGCACGAAGTTGACCTTGTCCGCGAGGCCCGGCTGCATCTCGAACATCTCCTCTACGGCCAGAAACTTCTGCACCAGACCCCGGGTAGCGTCCAGGCTGTCCACCCCGAGGAGCATCGTCTTGTTCTGAATGAATCGTAGGAAAAAAGCGCGCAATAAGAAATAATGCATGAGCAAAAAAAAAGAAGGGTCACGCAACAAAAAAAAAGCACGCATGAAAAAAACAGCGACGAAAATGCAACACTGATATGCCTATGGCAGGAGCTGGCAGAAAAAAACATGCATGAGAAAAAAAACAAATAAAACAGGGACGAATATGCAAATACTGGTACGTACGCGACAACAGATTAAGTCGGATAACACATGCGACAGCACCATGCACAACGCTTGTCTTGTTCGGAACGAACAGAAACAAAGAGTGCGCACCGAGACGGCAACACTATAAATAGTAAATCGTATCACTAGGAAACAGTTGCGAGAAAGAAGAAGAGAAAAGACACTTTGAAGGCAGCAATCGCACGATAACTTGCGGAGTAAGCACACGGTCCTTCCGGCCGAGCCCAACGCCCCCACCCCCAAAAAATTGCTGCCTGCCTGAACGGCCGTTGGCTTCTGAGTGGAAAATCAATCCCCTCCTTGCTTCCTCTCCCCCCCTTCTACCTCTCTCCGTCTGTCTGTCTGTCTGTCCGTCTGCCTGTTTCTTCCTCTCCCTTTTCTGTCTCTCTCACCCTGGTCTGCTTGGACCACCGCTGCATGAGCCTCATCACGTCCGGCTGGTGGCACAGCTGCGTCACCGCATCCGGGTCGATGCCAACCGGACAGATCGTCACGTTCGCGAAGTGCCCGTTGTGCTCCACCCCCTTGTACCAGCAGAAGCAGCAACAGCAGCAGCAGCAGCAGCAGCAGCAGCAGCAGCATCACAACAAGCAGCATCACAACAAGCAGCAGCAGCGGCGGCAGCAGCAGCAACAAGACAAAGCGAGAAGAAAAAAAACACAGACAAACAGAGCCGACCGCTCCAACCAGCCTCGTTTCGAGAAAAATAGATGCAACTGCGCTGCCTACAGCTAGCACTACACGAAAACAAAAAATCGCCATACACAGCATACATCAGTACACGAAAAACAAACCTTACAATATCAAGCAGGTAGATACAAGTCTGCGTAAGCCAGACCATGTAATACACGAAAAACACACACCAAACACAGCATTGAGCGAAAGATACCTTATACGACACAAGGTTACATACGCCCTTGGACCGATTTTCAAAGCTGGATTACCCCACGACCAAGAGGATGCATAAACGAAACGATACGTTTTCGGAGGGCTCTCGACCGGACGGTTTCAACGCCGTCGCTTTCGGCGCTGCGACTCTTGCTGCTGTTGAAAAATCGATCTTTGAAAATCGGGGGGGGGGGGGGGGGGGGG